ATGGGTATATCATTGCTTATTTATATTCTGTTGAAGAATATTTTGGCTTTATTATTTTTTGGAAATTATTCTTTGCTATGATTTATAATGATGAAATGAATATCCTTGTTCATATATATCCATGAGCCTATTTTATTAATACAAATTCCTAGAAGTAAAATTACTCAAAATTTTATCTATTTTTAAAGGCAATCTTTATTTTTTCCTCTTTTATATACTTTATCTTAGCTCTTGAAGGCCACACTAACAACTATAAGGTCACACTAAAGTTGTAATGTTTTTCTAATACTCTTTCACGTTCACTCAATTTACAAGTTTATTGCAAATTCCTGTTATGAGTCAGGCTCTGAGCAAGGTGCTGAAGTAATTGCAAAGAAAAATAATTAATCCTTGATCCCTATCCTTTAAGAGAGAAAAATCTAGTCAGGTAGACATATAGGAGGACAAATAATTGCAATTTGGTGTTATTTGTGCTGTAGGAAGGGTGAGTGCAAGTGCTATAGAGCAAAGATAAAGTGACTATCCAGAGAAAGAGAAAATGTCTTCCTTCAGAAGTGACACCTTTTTTTCAACAAATGGTGCAGGAACAAGTAAACATCCAATGCAAAAAAAAAAATGAATCTAAACAAGATTCTATACCTTCATAAAAATAATGCAAAATGGATCACAGACGTAAATGTAAAATGTAAAACTATGAAACATTTAGGAGATAACACAGGAGAAAACCTAGATGACTTTGGATATGGTGATACCTTTTCAGATAAAAAATGAAAGACCTGATCCATGAAAGAAATAATTCATTAGGTAGAATTAATTAAATTCTGCTCTTGGAAAGACAGTATCAAGGAATTAGAAGATGAGCCAAGGACTAGGAGAAATATTTTTAAAAGATCCATCTGATAAAAGACTATTATCTGAAATAAAGAACTCAGGCAGTAATTAAAAAAAAAATTTAAAAACAGTCTGTGATCACTAACAGATACCTTACCAAAAAAGATCTATAGATGGCAAATATGCATATGAAAAGATGCTGTACATTATGTATCATCAGGGAAATGCAAATGAAAACAACGAGATACCACTATACAACTATTAGGATAGCCAAAATCCAAAAGACTGACAACAGCAAATGCTGACAAGGAATTCGAGCAAAAGGAACTGTCATTCATTGCTGGTGGGAATGCAAAATGGTACAGCCACTTTGGAAGACAGTGTGCGGTTTCTTACAGAACTGAGCATACTCTTACTATGTGATACAGAAACTGTGCTCCTTGGTATTTATCCAAAGGAGCTGAAAACCTAAGTCCATACAAAATCCTGCGTATGGATGTTTATAGTAGCTTTATTGACAATTGACAAAACTTGGAAGCAACCAAGACATCCTTCAGTAGACGAACATATAAACTGTGGTATATCCAGACAATCAAATATTATTAAGCACTAAAAATAAATGTGTTATAAAGCCACAAAAGGATATAGAGGAACCTGATATGCATTTATTAAGTGAAAGAACCCAATCTGAAAAGACTACATATTATATAATCCCAGCTATATGACATTCTGGAAAAGACAAAACTATGGAAACAATATGCTAATCCAAAGATCATTGGTTGTCAGCGAGGATTGGAGAGAAGCGGTGGAAGACAGGGAGAGAGAAATAAGCAGAGGGTTTTTGGGGCAGTGAAAATGCTCATATAATAATATAGTGATGGATTCACGTCATTATACATTTGTTTAA